TTACAGCTAATACTGATATGGCCTAATGTTTACAAAGGGCTTACCCCATTATGTAGGTAGCATACTATTATCCACATTTTGCAGATGAGAAAATTGAGGTAAAGAAATTAACTGATTTACCCAGAATCATACAGCTGGCTAGCTATCCAGCACTGACCCACCAGGTAAGGTCTGGCTCTTCCTGTTTGCTAAATTTTGTAAGCCATTTCAGTTTAGAAGAGAAAAGGAACATTTCCTGAAGGATAACTACTGAAGTGTCTTGCATGTAACAGGAATTGAAAGGTTATTTGCTTTATTAAATGTGCAAAATGTGACATATATCCACAAAGAGGTGTTATCTATCTGCACATCACCCCTGGAAGCTATCTATATACATATTCTGATGATGCTGCCATTCCCCCAAACATTTATGGAACTCCTCTTATGGAACTGCCTTCAGAGATATCACATGGGCCAAAAGAGAATGCTGGTCTTGTAACCTTACACACGTTACCTAACACAATGTTTTTGATCAGAGACAACATCATGCAGCTTATTCATCAAACCTGGAGCTGAATGACTGGAATGTTTCCAAAAACTAAATCCACCCTCAAAGAACAAAGATTTGCCACCATACAATCATGGCAGAACCATAGAATTAGGGCAGGTGATCTAATTCAGTACCCTCATTTTAAAGGTGAAGAAACTGAGGCCCAGAGATGTAAAGCCTAAGCTTACTCAGATAGTTATGTAGGAGGGTCTGGATCTGAATCCAAGTTCTCTGACCCCAAATCTACTGAAACTTCAAAAGAATATGTTACCAACTCTGTAGGTAATTCTAGAAGAATAAAAAAAAATATGAATAAGCATTTATTAAGCACCTAGTATGTTCTGGACACTCCACTGATTATTAGAGCAGAAAGGGACCTTAGTGATCATTTTATCCCAACCTCATTGTTGTTGTGGTTGTTGTTTGCCCATCTTTCTCAAAGAGGACCCTGACATCAGGAAGATGATGGCATGACTTGCAAATGAATTGGATTTAAGTGAGGGAGGGCTATGCAAGGTCACCAGCCTCATTTTCTCCTTGGGAGCCAACTGGGATCAATGGCAAGATATAGATCAGGATGACTGGAGATGGCTCCCCAACCTTATTGTATGGATGAGGACCATGAGGTACAGAGAAAAGGGCTCCCGCCAAGATCACACAGTGAGTCAGTGCCAAAACTCATTTGTAAAACCAAGTCTCCTGATCTTAAAGTCCAGGGCTCTTTCTTTTATACAACAAAATTATGATCATTAGCTACTCATCCCACTGCTGTTAAAAACAAAGGAACCAATTCATTTTGTGGAGGGTAAATGAGGCCCAGAAAGAATCTACCTAATCCTACTCACCTGCTAATGACAATCTCTGGATGAAGTCAACAGAATGCGGTCCACTACAAATTTCCTCTATACAATCTCTTTGGGCCCTCATTTCTACACCAAATTCCAAAATTCTTTTACCTTCATAGTTTACTCCTTATGAGGCTTCCTGCAACCACTCATTCCAATACCTGTCAATCCACCTCCACCATCCATTTCCAGCTGTCTCTCAGCAGAGAGAGCGAGGCCTCCTACTTTACCAAGAAAACTGAGGCTACGCATTGTGGAGGAAGGAAGGAAAGAGAAGACTGGTAGAATGTGGCCACTTCCACAAGTGTCACTTTCACTGATGCCAAATGCCTCAGTGTCTCCAGCAGAAAGGAAAGCATGGGGACAGCTAGGTGGTGCAGTGGATAGCACTCCAGCTTTGAAGTCAGAAGGATGTGAGTTCAAATCCAGTCTCAGACACTTGACACCTACTACCTGTGTGACTCTGGGCAAATCACTTAACCCCACTGCCTCACCAAAAGGCAAGAAAAGAAAAAAAAAAGGTGAGCCAAGGGACGGCCAAAAAACAAAACAAACTGGAACCAAGACTATCAGGGTTGCCAAAAGAGAAACAGTTACTACTTAACATGCACTCAAAAAATAACTATTAAGTGCTGCTTGGGCAGGGACCTATTGTAGTCCAAACTATAAGCTCCAGAGTGAACTGGATTTAAGGCTTGGGTCTTTGAGACAGAAATCTCCTTTGAATACCCTCAGGTAAGGGGACTGGACAGGAAAGGAGAGGGCGTGGATAAAAGTTGACTCTGATGTAATGATAACAAATCTAATTAAGTGGGGAAAAGGGACTGTTCTGGGAGAAGAGGAAAGGAGGAGGCAGACAAGGGTAAGTTACCTCATATGAAAAGGCACAAAAACCTATTAGAGTAGAGGGAAAGAAGGGAGGGAGATGAGCATTGTTTGAACCTTCCACTCATCAGATTAGGCTCAAAAACATAATAACATGATCAGTTAGATACAGAAATCTAATTTACCTTAGGGGGCAGCTAGGTGGTGCAGTGGACAAAGCACTGGTTCTGGAGTCAGGAGGATGTGAGTTCAAATACGGTCTCAGACCAGACACTTGATGCTTACTAGCTGTGTGACTCTGGCCAAGTCACTTAACCCCAACTGCCTCACTGGAGGAAGAAAAAAAAAAGCATGAAACTTTTACAACCAGTCTCATACTTCTGCCACTGGGGCATCAAAGGCCAAGTCCTACCATCTTCTAGCTGGTTACACTGGAGAAACCAATCAAAAGCTTCAGATCAAGAAACTGCAACTCCCATAAATCCATGACTTTCTGCTACCTTGCCAAGCTGTCCTGGTATGGAGGAAGCAAAGGACTCAAGTGTCCTACACGTCCACTAGAAAGAGAAAGGGAGAGCTTGGTGAAACCTCCATGTGCCAAATTCAAGGGCAGCCTTTCAGAAGACCATAAATGAACACTAGAAAATGTAAAGAAACAAGAGTAAGGTAGAGAAGATCAAGGGCCTATAACTCAGGTGAGCTGAAATGCATAGTGTGTAAAGGGTAATAATGTGAAATAAGACTGGAAAAGTAGACCTGGGAGGACCTTGATGCCAGAGGCAGACGTCTGCTTATCAATTAGAACAAATTTATGTAAAAGTCTTAGAAGACTCCCCAAATAATACTTTGAAGGAGGCAACACTTCTCTGGATGTGTGGGTTCTGTTGTATTTGTCAAATCAGCCAAACTATTTAGCCTCCTAGTGTAAGTCTAGAGACAGTATATAAAATTGCTAAAAGTTGAAGGTAATTTTAGAAGATTAAAAAACAATAAACAAGGATCTGAGAGATGAATATTCTGTATTATATCACTTTACAGTCCTTACCTGAACTCTACATATTCAGGAATGACCAGAGCTCTCAGTGTGACTACCATGGCAGTGCCTTTGGAAATAGCATTCTTACTTTGGAAAAAACCCTAACTGGAAGTTAATGCTGATTTAGTGGTGGAACCTGACTGCCAGTGTTCAGAAAGAAGAACAAGGATATGCTATGAGGCCAAACAAATGGAGAGCAGAAGCCCTTACTTAGATGAGTAAGAGCAGGACTGCAGAAATGGTACAAAAGTTTACTCGTACACCATCACGACAGAGATCTTGAGTATTCAGAAGTCTTGATTCTAGGCGAAGTTACACAACAGATGTAGCAATTTTCTTTTATGATTAAGTGTTTGATGAGTTAAAAAAAAAAAGTACGAAGGGCCCAGCCAGGGTTGACAATAAATCCCATCCCTACTTTAAATGATCTAGGTCTACCAACCCACAGTTATCTGCCAAATTCAGACAAAACGTCCATTTTGTCTGATTCACTGAGATAATTTAAGCAAAGGCAGGTGTTTTGCCTAAACCCTCTTGGCAATTTTGCAAATTCTTTCTCCACTTAACTTTGGCTGGGTTGAACTAACATAAAATGTAAACAAAAAAATTTTTTTTGAAGAATGGCTAAGAGGACTAGCATTTACAACAAAGAAATACCTGCGTTCACTTATTTTAAAGTAGTTTTTTGTTAGTTTGCTAATCAGAGCCACTGCATTTGGGTTACATGACTCATTCCCCAGTAACCAAAGTCCTATAGTGGTTGGCAAAGAGCAGACAGAATTTGCACGCAGTATTGGACTGCAGTACCCCCCAAACACTAAGCAGGAAATAGGTAAAAATCTTCAAACAACAAAAACACGACCACAAACAGTGGAGAAATATCAAAATGAACTGGGCTCTTTATTTCCGCCGGACCCAGGGATATTTTTCATTATCTCAGGGTTGTGGTCACAGAAGAAAAAGAATTCACAACAGCAAGTGCCCCTTAAGACAAGATGTCTGTGTTGCACACAGGGGCAAGAAGCAACTTATTTTACTTAACCACCGTGATGGAAAGGTGTCTGGAAATACTATTGAACTAAGAGCAGCAGTTTCTCAGAGACTCCTAAAATCTCACTTTTAAGCTGGATTAGTTTTCTTAACACTTAGCCTTACAATTCCTTAAAACTGTAAATGGCTTGGCTCATTATTACTTACTGAGAAAAATAAAAAGTGTGGAGACGGAGAGCCTAATCCCTCCTCGCACATCATAAAACGGGGCAAGCAACACATTTAGCTTTTCCAATCTACATCATCTCGTTTCCAAATGTGCGCCTCAGACAAATCGTCCAGCAAGCACTAACCAGGATCAAATGCTACAAAGGTTTCTTTTCCTTCTCATCTGAAGTCATAACTTTGATCACATACATCTGCTCCCCAAACCTCGGATTTCGTCGCAGAAAACCCCCACCATCCATGTAAGATTGCGCAGGATAAGCCATGCAGCCGCGTTCGGTACAATTCATCAACAACTGGCTAATGCTGAAGGGTCACTGGTTCTTTCGGAACCCCAATTTCCACCTTCTACAACACTACCCCAGCTCCTACTTTTGCCCTCCGAGTTCAGGAACGCATAACCTCAGCACCCAGGAACACTGCCAGATACCGAACTTGCTCGAATAACTGAGGTCCCAACTTTAGGCTAGGGAGATGACCCCCCCCAAAAAAAGGGATCTAGCTGTTCGGGGTCCCCAGAGCTCCCCGTTTTAAGGGTTAGTCTACTTACTCTGTTGTAGGCTGGACGCAGCTTCCAAGAGAAATAGCACCTGCAGCGCAGCCACAAGCAAGGGAGCCGAAGTCGCTACGGCAGAGAGTCTCATTGTTTCGAGGTTGGACAGGCCGGCCGGTCGGTGGGACAGCGAGCGGCGCGGGATCTACGCGGAGACTGAGGCCAACGCCAGTCCTCGCTCCCCAGGCGTTAAGGTGAGCCCGCAACGTGGACCTCTCCGTACCTTCTGCGCGCTGCGCTGGCTCCGCGTTGGCTGCCTGGCTCGCTCGCTCGCTCGCTCGGCGCTCTCTCCGGATGACCAAATAGGGTCTGGGAGCCCCCGAGCCGAGAAGGGGGCGGGCAACGAGACCAGTCGAAGAACCTGCCGTGGGCGGGAGGGGCGGGAAGAGCCAGAGAGGGCGAGATGGACGCGGGGCGGGGGCCCGGCGCGCAATACTGGGCGTGGTGAAGGCTGGCTCCTCCGCTTCCCGGCAGAGGCAGGCTTCAAGCTAGGGAACGGGGAGCGTGGATTCCGGAGCCATCCCGGCTTGCATGCGTGCATGCATGCATACGTGTGAACGGTTTCCTTTCTTTTCGGAAATGGCAATTTTCTCTAGTTTAGATAAAATCGACCGAGGTTTCTTGCTTGTGGCCCAAAGTCGGCCGACTCGGAGCGCTCCGAGGAAGAGGAAGTCTTTGAAAAGTAGTTTTCACAAGGGCTGACTTTGGGGTGTATTTGCGTAGGGTGCAACGGAAAGTGAGAAGGCGAAAGTTGCTGGAATGGGGGGGGAGAGATAGGAGCTGGTGCAGTTGCCCACCGCCCCAGAAGGGGCGGTGTGGGTGAGTCTTGGTTATTTCGTCCAGGTGACATACAGCGCTTCATTTGTTACAGAAAGAACTTAAACTTTTGATTTAAAGGCATTCATTTTCATAGCTTTGCATGATGACTCTTGAAGTTAAAGTCCCCGGGGGGGGGTGAGGAATGCCTTCAACTTTCGCTAACCCCTTAAGGTTCCCTGACCTCCAGGAAAAGCAGGCTTGTTCCTTTATCTTTGGATAAGGAACAAGCTGTATATTGTATACAGTGCTAGCCAATGTACAATACTGTGGTGGTCTAATTTGGGGTAGAGCGACTATACAGTAAAACAAAGGAGGCTGGATGGTCTTAGGCAGAGCCTAATCTCAGCCCCTTCCTGTTCCTTTCTTCATGTGTTTCTGTGGGATAGTATAGAACTGGCACAGATTGGAATTGGTTCTTTTGGGCTAGATATAGGAAGCTTCCCTACTACTAATTCTAACCTACTTTAATAGAGCACTTTGCGTGTACAAAAGAAAAAAAACTGTAGCATATATTATTTCATTTTAATACCTCAAAACAACCATATGAAATAGGAAGCACATGTATTATTATTGTGATGATGATTATGATTACAATACCCATTTTACAGATGAATAAACAGGCTCGAGGCTGCACAATGGAAGCCAGGTCTTCTGACTCCAAGTGTTCTCCAGTGCGTTGCCCTGCCTAGGCAATTCATCTGCCCTACACTCATTTTTTCCAAAATCTACATTTTATTTCCACAGCAGAAAGCTGAGATGATCTATGGCTACTTCTACCCAAAGCTGGACAGGCTCCCAGATCCAGTTCCAACTTTGGGTTGGCAAGGAAAAAAAGATCTGAAAACATGCATACATCTGCGGCTGGGGTGGGGGCAGGGAGGAGAGGAGCCAGTGTCTTTATAATTATTAAGCCCCTTGAATGTGTAAATTAGCGATCTGGAATATAGTTTTGTTACCATGACAGAGAGAGATGAGAAGTACAAGAATATGCTATGGGAGACATAGGGAAATATTTCCTAGTCCTGAATGAAGGCAGTCTTGATGTGGGAATGCAATCAGGGTTCAATGTCATTCTCAGACAGAATTTGGTTGGACTTTCTCAAGCAACGAACATATTTATTGTTGCTAGCTCTGCAGTCCTTGTCCTGTGTGTGAGATGATGTTTGTGATGTGACCTATGATTTCGTCAGTGCAGGGAGCTCACCCAGAAGAGTTTTCTCTAGCAATGAAAATCACCACCTTTTCTGCAATTTAGAGGGGCACTGAGAGATTTAAAAACTTGTCCAGGGACACACAGGATGTGTCAAAAGCCTAGCTATGAACTCTGGTCTTCTTTTAGACTCTTAAGACCATTCTCTATACGATATGTGTCGTTCTGCCTTTCTTTAAACCCTGGTAATTAATAAATTATCTTCACTAAAGTCCTCAGATACCTCATTGTGCAAGTGACCCTGGGGTCTAGAAGACTATGTCAGCAGAAGACAAGCTCTGGCAGGTTCTCTCAAACAGGTTTTCCCTTCAGGTGTGGGTTGGGAAATAGAATGTCTTGTGGGAGGAATGGCAAAGAGACCAGTGTCCGCTGCATCATGGATTACCTCATGTGGAGAAGAATAAGGTATAAGAAAACTCGAAAAGTAAAAGGGGCTGGGTTAGGAGGGCTTTAAAACCCAGAGGATTTTCCATTTTATCTTTAAGATGATAGGATTCACTGAAGTTTATTGATAGAGGGATAATATGATCAGACCTGTGTTTTAAGATCAGTTTGACAGTTTAGCAGAAGATGGATTGGAATGAGGAGAGACCAGTGGCAAAAGAAACCAACCAGCAGGCTACTGCAAGTAATCCATGATGGTAGCAGTGTCAAAGGGGAGAAGTAGGTGTATACAAGAGTTAGGAAGGTGGAAATGACAACACAACTGATTGTCTGTGGGACGAGGGAGTGAGAAAGGGCGAGGAGTCTTGGAGATGATACGTTGGAAACCTGGGTGTCTGTGGTAACTGGTCTTCATTCCTCTGCAGGATGCATTCCTGCCGCTTTGGATTTTCCCAGCAATGTCACAGAAGCCTCTGCAACCTGGAAGTTCATTTCATCCCTGGATTTCTCACATTGGAAGTACCCTCCAGCACTGCAGCTTCTTCTTCTAATTGGCTCGTTCCTCCCAGAGCCTCCATTTTAAGGACTTCCAGACCAGCTATGTCTGTATTCCTCTCCTGACTGTTCCGTTATTCTTTATCATGTCCCTGGAAAAGTACTCCCTCCTCTTCCTCTCCCCTACCCCCTTTCAGCTACCCTTTTTTGGTCTCCTTTTTCCATTAAAATGTAAGCTCCTTCAGGGCTGGGACTATTTTTCATTCTGTTTGTGCTTGTATTCCCAGCACATAGCATAGTAGCACATTATAAGCACTTAATGGAGACTTGGCTTGACTCAGTGAATGGTGGTACCTTTGAAAAGAATTAGATGGATTAGGAGGAGGAGGAAAGTGTTTGATGGGAAAGATAATGAATTCGATTGTGGACATGTTGAATTTAAGATGTCTATGGGACATCCATCCAGTTCAAGTCTAATAGTTAGAGATCCAAGACTGAAAGTTGAGAAAGTTGTTAGGACTGGACAAATAGATCTGAGAGTCATCTGCAGAGAGATGATAGTTGGTGAAGAAGCAGAACTCCTTTTTTTTTTTTGGTAAATAGTTAACAATTGCAGAGAATTGTTTCTTCCTAGTATTTCCATAGATGCTGAGCAATATATGGTACTTTAGGTTCTATGGAATGCAGACTTCCTATTGGAAAAAGCAATCGAAGAGTGTAAAGGGAGTTGGAAGGAGAGAATGGGGCAGTAGCCCTGGAGTCAGAGAGAAAAAAAACGGTACTGCTTTGTTACTTGTTTGTCATCTCCTCTGGGATCTCTACTTTCTATGCTTCTTTCTTCCAAAGTCCCCCCCCCCACTTATTCCAACTGAATATTTGTTTTCTGCTCAGAGTTTGCCCAAACAGATGTTCACACAGGAGCTTAGAACCAGGAGCATGCACAAGAAAAGACTTAGGAATATAGTTTAGATTTCAGTTTCCTCATCTGTAAAATGAGCTGGAGAAGGAAATGGCGAACCAATGCAGTATCTTTGCCAAGAAAAACCCAAATGGGGTCATGAAGGGTCAGACACAAGTAATCGACTAAACAACAAAATAGATCTGAAAGGCTGTAATATGGAAGAGGAACTAGATTTGCTCTGTTTGGTTCTAGTTGACAGAACTAGGAAATGTGTGGAAGTTCAAAAGAGGTGTATTTAAACTTAATTTTGATGAAAACTTGCTAGCAAAGCTATCCCAAAGTAGATTTCCAGGTACTTGGTTCTCCCCTTTTTGAGTTTCTTCAAGCAAAAGTTAGGTGACTACTTGTCTATTATGTTATCACATGGGGAGATTCTTGCTTAGGGATGTGTTGGACCAGATGGCTGAGGTCATAGGATCATAAATTTAGAGGTAGAAATGACCTCCTCCCACCTTCTACCTACTGAATAGGAAAGAAGAAAAGAAGGAAGGAAGCAAGAAAGCAAGCAAGAAAGTACCTCTTATATTACATAAGCTTAGTTAAACAAAACATTCCTACAGTGGTCACATCTAAAAATGAATTTCTTGTTCTTCATATTAATCCATTATTTCCCTGCCAGGAGATGGATTACATTCTTCACTATCAGTCTTGTGAAATTGTAGTTGATCACGTATTAAGTCTTTCACAATTATTCATTTTTAAAATATTTCTATGTAATATAAATTATTCTGGTTTGGCTCATTTCATTCTGCACATTCATATGTCTTTACAGATCTCTTTGAAATCATCTTTTTCCCCCTTCATTTCTTACAGAATAATAGTATTCTGTAAAATGCCTATGCCACAGTTTGTTTAGTCATTTCTTAATTGATGGACATCCCCTTATTTTCTACTTTTTTCTACCACAAAAAGAGCTTCTATAAATATTTTTATCCATATAGCCCCTTTTCCTCTTTCTTTGATCTCTTTGGGATATAGGCCTAGAAATGGCAGAGTGGTACATGTCAAAGAACATGTAATGTTTAGTGACTTTTGTGCCATTCTAAATTGCTTTACAAATCAATTTGACCCTTTCACAATTCCACCAGTGATGGAGATTTTGACATATTTCTTCATATCATTTGATAGGCAAGGAAATAAAGTCCCAGAGAAGTGACTCGCTCCATGTTATACAGGTCCCTTCCAACTCTAAAATTCTGTGACTCTTTGACATTATTTGAAAGTGAATCTGTTTCCAGACAGTGTTGTCTCATGTTTTTATTCGAGGTTAGAGGTTAAAAAAAAATAGAGGACTAGAACCTTCAGATTGTAGTACTGCATGTCATTTAGAGTCCATAGTAATTTCACACACATATTGAATGAATGGGGGCAGAGGGGAGAGAACTGGGCCCTTTTGTTGTTCACAGATAATTATACCTCAGCTGTTAT